CTGTCCACATTCCCTGCCCAAGACGCAGCTCTCCTCTGCTCCCGCTCTTCCTCCTGGGATTCGCAGCCAGGGCCCTCTGGTCTAGGGGGTGCACAAGCTGCTCCAGCCTGGGATATGAAACCGAGCGTCCCAATTTTAAATGTCCCTTTTGTTCTTCCTTAAAGATAGCCATTAACGGGAGAAGTTTAAGAAAAGAAAAAACCCCTAGAGCAGTGTTTCTCAACCGTGGCAGCTTAATATATGTGCACTTCACCTTTAAGATGCGTGGACTTCAACTCCCAGGATTCCCCAGCCAGCTCTGCTGGCTGGGGAATTCTGGGAGTTGAAGTCCACACATCTTAAAGGTGAAGTGCACATATATTAAGCTGCCACGGTCGAGAAACACTGCTCTAGGGGTTTTTTCTTTTCTTAAACTTCTCCCGTTAATGGCTATCTTTAAGGAAGAACAAAAGGGACATTTAAAATTGGGACGCTCGGTTTCATATCCCAGGCTGGAGCAGCTTGTGCACCCCCTAGACCAGAGGGCCCTGGCTGCGAATCCCAGGAGGAAGAGCGGGAGCAGAGGAGAGCTGCGTCTTGGGCAGGGAATGTGGACAGCTGTCCAAATGCCATGGTTGGGAACAACCACTCCGGGAGAGCCGGAGAGTTGGATTTCAAGGGCCAAAAACAAGCAGAGAAGCAGCTGGAAACAGAGCGGAGGGCAATGCCATGGTGGCAGGGAGGTCCCGCCTTCCAGAACCTACATTAAAGGCCTGGGCCACAGTCCTAATTTCAAGGCAGACGCGCCCTGAACGGGGAGCAGGTTAAGGAGCCCATTTCAGCCGAGGGGGACTCACCTTCAGTGCCGCCTGGAGGAACTGCGGATTGTGGATGCCCGTGATTTCTTTCAGCTGGCTTAGGAGCAAACTGCAGGCCTGGGTTAAAGTGGCACAGAGAAGGTGTTATCAGAAAGGGAAGAGGGCAAGGCTTACTGTAACGAAGCCAAGGAAACATGAAAGCACTTAAAAAATAAAAAGGTTGGTAGACTTTTCCAAGTGCCAATGGGCCGAACAAGGGTTTTCATTTATTTAATTCCAAGCCACTCACAACAGCAACCAGTTTAAAACAAATAAAATGTTTATTTTTTTTAAAGAAACCAAATAATTCTCTCCCCAAATTACTCCAGTTCTGGCCAGTTTGAAAGTAGCCTTTTTCTGTATTGCATTTAAGCTCCTGAAGTTGTTCTGACTTTTAAGCTTAAATTTGGCCGATCCCTTAAAACCACGCTTATAACGATATGCCTCTTACTTCATGTATCCTGGTGTGTGTTATCTTCTCCTGAGTGTTATAGNGGACTTCAACTCCCAGAATTCCCCAGCCAGCATTCGCTGGCTGGGGAATTCTGGGAGTTGAAGTCCAGACATCTTCAAGTTGACAAGGTTGAAAAACACTGGATTAGAAGACCTCCAAGGGAGAATAACTCTCTTGTTCTGAGACCAAACTCACTTTTTTTTCTAAAAAACAGATTTGACGAGGCTAAGGCCAAGCCGACTTTTCTAGAAGCTAAGCAATGCACATTTATTTATTTGCAAAATATTCATTCAAAACATTCCCCGTGTTTTGGCCTTCAAGGAATTCATCTACTTCTCCCCAAGCTCGGAGGGCGGATGGGAGCTCAGGCTGCAATGCCCCCTCCCTTCTAAGAGCCCCCCATTCCTAGTGTAGCCCTGACAGAGGAGCAGATTAGAGCCCTTCTCCTCACACTTGGTCTTCCTGTAGGCGGAGAGCCGCCAGCTACAACCAGGAATTCAGCCCAGAACTCAAACCGTTCCTGAAGAGCCACAAGTGATGGGATGTTGTGGGTCGATTCCCTCGCATGTACAGTGCCTGGTCATAGTGAGCCGGTGTGGGGGTGGGGGGGAACCTGAGACCACGGGAATTTTAAGAGGTCGTTTGGTTACAAGCCAACTGTATTGGAGTTCCTGATCCTTTAACTCAGGTGCTCGGAACAGGCCAAGTTCCTTGAAGTCAGAAATATACTCTGACTTCATTCAGGATGGCTCACGTGCCCAGCCAGCCCCAGACCTGCCTGTAGCACACAGAGAGAGAATCACACCATCCTACAAAGGGGGGCAGGCGGGAAACAGGCATTGGGGTTGTTGTTTTTTAAATCTCCGTGGCAAATTCTGGCAACTGGGCAGCTTCTCCGAAGCTCCTTTAGACTCACTCGGCCTCCACCGTCAGTTGGAAAGCATCTTCCAGCCAATCCAGGAGTTTGTGGGTGAACTCGCTGACATCTTGCTAAAAAAAAGGAGACAGAGGGAGCAGCTAAGTTTCGTTTTGCTTACCCTGAAGAGTTTTCTCCACTCTTTTCATAGAACTTTGGGTGTCTTCCATTTTTAATTTTGAAATTACATTTTAACGTTTCTGCAATTTATAGAGTTGTGAACTGCCTTTAAATTAAACCTCTCTGCCGGCTGGGGAACTTTGGGCCCACATCTTAAAGCCAGCCAGGCTGAGAAACACAGCTGCACACAGCGTAGTCCAAAGTAGAGACCTCCCTTGCCAGTGGGATCCTGGGCCAAGTGGCAGCCCAGGGATCTGGGAAGACCCCAAGGGTGCCTTCTCACCTGTTGCTCCTCAGGAGATCTGAATGCCCCTTTGAGAAGTTCAAGGGCGGTTGTTGGGTCTACAAATTTGCGACGCGTCCCCAGCATTAAAGCAAAGAGATATTGGAGTTCCTGCATGAACGCGATGTTCCTTTTTTCCTGCAAAACAAGAAGAGGAGCAATTAAAAAAAAATCAATTAAACAACAGGCCAAGAAAGGGTCACTTGGATCAGCAAAGTGTGGTCAGTTCACATTCAGAAGTTATATTTGCTGGAGTGATGGGTGGCGCACAATTCATACAACCCGGACTCCATTTATAAACCATCTAAAGCCAAAACTAACTAGGGCACATTGTGGCTTGGAATATTGCATGGATTCATTCCAGACAGGATTCTGCTTTTCAGCCAAGAGGGGAGGAAAGAGATTTGCATCACTTCTTCCAAATTCACCACCGGCAAAAAGTTCTAGAGAAGGCCTTCAATGGGGTGGTCAGCAACCCCAGCATCATCTCTCCCTAGATCAGAGTTCGTGATCACACATCAAGTTGCCACCTGTCTGCTTTTAGGTATTTGGGGCCATTCAATCAAAAGTTAAGGGTAAAGGGGGGGGGAGCCCAAACAATTAGCATCGATATTCTAACATTTAGGACCCTTAAGAGGCCCAGACTCAGGTGACAGCCAAGAAGACTGAAAAAGTTCCAAACTTGCTAGAGAAAACTAAAATTGGGGAAATTCAGCATAGCATGGAATCACAGCTTTGTGTTCTAGATTCTGAACATGGGGGAGTCCTTAAAATTTCTGGAGAAATCAGAAACTCTCCTTCCTCTTTTAACTGTCTCCCACCCTTGCAGGTTGTCAAGTATTCGGCCAGCCCTGTTGTACCAGCGTGGCTCGGGAAGACAAATCCCCCTCCCGCCACCCAGGAGTCACTTACACTTCGGCTGCGGCAGCTGTCCAGGACGGCTTCGGGCAGGGAATAGTTCAGGACCAGGTGCCGGACTTCTGGCAGCTGGAAGAGAGACTGACAGCACCCCTGGAATTAACCTCCCGCTCAATCAGGGACCGTCTGTATCCGTGATAGGGAACCGATGGCATGCGTGCCACGGGTGGCACACGGAGCCTGTTGTCAGGGCACGCGAGGCATTGCCCTGTCAGCTGGCCAAGCTGACTTCGGCCTTCTTTTGAGACCATTTTTCCTTGAAGCCTCCGGAGTGGGGAAAACCGGCCGTACGGGCAAACCGGAAGTCCGTTCCCGAACTTCTGGTTTGTCCATAGGACCGGGGGGGGGGGGTGTTTGCACTCCGGAGGCTTCAAGGAAGCTCCCGAGCTCCGGGAGGGGGCGGGGGGAGCTGTTTTCGCCCTCCCAAGGCTCCTATAAAGCCTCTGGAGCAGTGTTTCTCAACCTTGGCAACTTGAAGATGTCCGGACTTCAACTCCCAGAATTCCCCAGCCAGCATTCGCTGGCTGGGGAATTCTG